GACATGCATGACACATGTCACATGTGTAATATCACTTCATCCATTTACTACAGCAGTGGTAAAACTTAATATTGTTTCAAAAACCTACTTTTTAATGTACTTTTAGGAAGCTTTTGTCTGTAGCTATTGATTCAATTGAATTAGCATTATCAAGGGAAATTGAGTTGATTTATGTTAATGTGCCTGGTACTGATCCTAATTAATGAATTCCCAGTAATGCCAGCTCATTTGGACAGCGATGTAGAATAGAAGATGTAGAATAGAACTCACATGTTCTCTCAAGCAAGTATAGGGTAAGTATATTAATTTCTGTTAATTTTTATTCTGAGAAAGGTTTTTCCAGTATTTTTACTAGGTTGTAATTTTATAGAGCTGCCAGGTTTGCTTTATATTTGAAATGAACTTGTCCATGAACAAAATACTTTTGGAAAGTATTTGTTGGAAAGGATATGTCAAGTAGAGTTGTAAACACTACCTCTATAAAGAGTGTGTATAAGTGCCGATAAATGTCATACATGTCCAAGGTTTTATACAATGTATGTACTCTGCTCATGCTATATGTTACATCTGTAAAATTTGGAGAACATTTGGCACATTACCTGTTTAAGAGAATTTACTGTTTAATTTCCAAATATTTTTTAATAAAGGAGTTTCAGCATTTACTTGTAGAGGGTTAGAATTTGTCATGTGTAAATGACACTTTTGTTGCTGTATTAGTGCTTTTATTCTTTTGAACATCCACATGGTCAAGTGTGTGTATGCATAAAGAGAGAGAGAGAGAGAGAGAGAGAGAGAGAGAGAGAGAGAGAGAGAGAGAGAGAGAGAGAGAGAGAGAGAGAGAGAGAGAGAGAGAGAGAGAGAGAGAGAGAAACTGGCAGTTAACAGATACTGACATGACAACTTTGAAGACTGGATTTTACATTGACTGTACATACTTTCTTATAAGTTGAGGTCAACTACAAACTGCAGAGACCTTGATCTGCTGGTGCATTATGTCATGACATATCAGGGGCTGTGTTCACAGGAGGTGCTATGGTAAATACAATAAGCTATCCGTGACCTTAACATCCATTATCCAGATTTTCTTGAACAAATTAGGGCCCCAAAGTGGCTGATTGATTTAAGGTGCTTGCTTTTACAAATCATTGACTTTTCACCTCAGTCTGTGCTAGTTTTAGTCTTGGCTGGGCTAAAGTGGATATGTGAGAAAGCTTGCCAGTAGCTTCAGTTCCATGGTTGCTGGTTCTTCCTGTGACATTTCCAGGTTCATTCTCATCCAAATATACTGGATGCTATATATAGCCTATCATTTGTGAAAAATGGCCTTTAACATGGAAAACCAAAACCACCATTTACTAGTAAATGTGGGTCATTTATAGTTTGCTAGCTAAATCACACTAACTCACACTAGAACAGAAAGCTATTAAAACTGTTCTTTATACAGGCTCATACTTGGATGAAATAGATGTGACTGGTACACTGATAACACAGAAAAAGAAATGAATTTAATTCTATTCTTTGCCTCTGTGTACTAGTAACATTCTATTTTGTCCAAGTGTGGGCCTGTATAAAGAATAATTTTAATATCTTTCTGTTCTAGTTCAAACTTCTGATACAAATTCAGACACAAAAATGCATTAAGTTAGTTCTAATGGTCATTACACCTGTTCATTGGTCGTTGTCTCTCCATCTATTTACACAAGTTTGTTGTTGCTACTTCTAAACAGCCGAGAAGATTGCCTTAAAATGTTGCACATAGAAGGTCATATTGGCATATATCTGATATATAATAAGGCTTCCATTGGGTCCATCTTTCAAACATTATCACACTATTAGACCTGACTGAATGGTCACATCAATTTCTGGTTGGTCTTAAATGAAAATAATGTCCAGTAGATATATATCATGTGTGCCACAATCACCATATGGAAAATTTTGTCACAAATTCTCTAGAATGGATGGTTGTATTGGAATAGGGTTTTCACTAAGAGTCTTCCAATGGTGTCTAGCTTTTCTTAAATAAAAATGGTTCCGATCTTGTATCCAGTATATCTTCCACAGAGGTTGATTGGCAAATGTGATCGTTCAGAAATCTCAGATGTTGTTGGCATTCAAAAACTTAAGAACAAAAAAAAATGTTTGTTTTTTTTTAATTTATGGCAAATCATTTTAGACCGTCAAGCATCAGTTTCTGGAAGAGCCTTGCTTGTTTATATCTTAATTTATGTCATTAAACATTTTACACTATTGTTTTCATATGGGAATGTCTCTTCATCTCTGGAAATGAGATTTATAGTGTCTATCCTGGCAAGACCAGATGAACATTGATATTGTACAGTTGTCTGGTGATTAACAGAAATTGATAGCTATTTACAGTTTTATTTTTCCTATTAGCTTGGTATTGTAGGATTATCTTTGGATCATGTGTGATTGAAGCCATTAATGTTATAATAATGCTATCAAGAATGCTGTTGTTAACAGTAACACAGTATTTATCTGTCATGTGAAATATGTGTGTAGGGTGTTATTTTGATTCAGGAGGAGACAGTTACCATGGCAGTTAAGTAACACATCCTGTTAGGATAATTTCCTTAGATACCAAATATTGACCTAGAAAGAAAATTCAAAGTTGACATACTTGACCTGATGGCAGAATTGAGAAAAAGACCATTTGAAATATAGTATTTGGTAAATTTGAAATTGATGATTGATTCAAAGTATACATTTTGTGGTTTAATAAAACATCATGCCAGTTAGTATCATGATTTTCTTATGAAGTTGTAAAATCTAACATCTTTAAATTTTAAAATTGACTTCAGTAGCCAATTATCTCATCAAAAATTCAGTGTAAAAATATATTTTAAATTTTGTAATAAATCAGTGGATAGATTTATGATTATTTTGTTCTCCTTGTCTGAATTTAAAATTGTGGTTTCTTTAACCAAAAATGACAGTACATGTATTTCAGTTTTAAACACTGAAATGTATACCAATTTGGACAAGAGCATGGGCTAACCATGAAAACCATTTTAAATCCATCACAGAGTAGAAGAGCATATAATGTATCACTTAAAGGCACTTAATTATATAATAAAACCTGTCTTGAAAGACCACTGCTATGTGATACCACCTGTTTTGATAGGCCACATTTTCAATGTACAAATTTATTGATTATATGGCATTGTGACTTGTTATGAGAGACAACCAGTCTTGAAAGACGATAATTTTTTGGTAAAAGAGGTGGTCTTTCAAGACAGGTTCTACTGTAACTCTATTCCCGTTCTAATGTGCTCATTGATACCATTTTAATATTAAAAGGTGGTCTCATAATAGGGCAGTATACTGAGACTGTGGCTCCCATGCACATCATTATGATGAGGGAATATAATTCTATGTGATAATGGGGAAAACATATATAAAAATATCAGCAGTTAATAATTCAAGTGTATTCATACTTGCCAACAAATCTCATTGCATCTATAACATTGGAATTATAATAATTCTGTTGAGAATGTGCTTAAGGCATAATTTAAAAAAAAACTCAGCACAGATTTTAAAAAATCTCACAGCACAGATCATGGTGCATCAGAATTCATTGTAAAAAGCAATCTTAGAAAAACATGAGAAAAGATTGAGCACAATCATTGTCCACTAGGCACAAGTTTATGTGTCTAGATCAGCAGTGCTGTCTATTTGGGTTGGAGCTTTCCAAAGAACTTTTTTTTTATTATTATTATGACTTTATTTAAAGAGGGTAACTCAGTTAGCTAAGAACTAATCTACCTTGAGGCCTTCATTCAAAGGAATTTATTTATTTTTGCTGCATCTCTGAAGCCATTGTATATATACTGGGTTTGGAAAGAAGAAAAAAGAGTGGGCATTTCTGATAATGGATTCTAAATTGCTAGTACATTGATCACATTTATTTTTTAGACAAGAGCGCCAGACTATGTATGCATGTTGGTGGCTTTCATTTTGTGATTTTTTGGGGTAAATTATATTATACAAAAATATAAAATTTATGGTTCTATTTTAATTTTTCTTGAAGTTTCAAGAAATATAAAATATTTGCACGTTTGTTTTTATTTTTATATTTCTACCACATATTATAATGTCCATCTATCAGTTTCCTGTTTTGTTTCTGCACATTAACTTGAGTTTTACGCTATCTGTTGAGATACAGCTGTCAGACCCCCTCCCAGCTTTGTTGGGGTGGGTGTTACGGGTTTCATTATCGTTGTCTAGAGGTGATCGCTGATGATTGTAATTTGCCCGGGATGAGTAAATATCAATAGAAATTGAGAAATAGATAAAGAGCAGGTATATAGAAGAGAATAACATGAGCGGGCTCATTACAAATAAAGACAAAATTAAATCAAAATTTATTACAATAAAGTTCATAAACAAAAATAATAATAATTCATTATAATTGAAAGGTACACTGCATCTTTGACATAACTTGTTGCACAAATTTTCAAATGCAAAGAAATAATGATACCAATAGATGATCCGATAAGTGATAGAATTTAAATCATTTAAATTAGTTCAAGTGAAATATAATTAAAACATTGCCTTGTACAGTTTTATAACCTGATGGGCTTGCTTCAGTCCAATTTCTGCAGCAACTATCCATTTTGGCTTCCTTGTGCTGATAGTCTGGGTCTCCTTCACTTCTGACTTTCTTTCCAAATTTTTTAAGGGTGCCTTATTCTTTTCGCCCCTTTCAACTTTGTGTACAATTTGGGTTTGTAAGTGATGTCAAGTTATTATGACTTTTAATGTAGCTTTAACAATTTTTCAGTCATATTGCTAGGATGTCTGCAGTGTGGCAGTAAATTTTAGTGATGTCTAGCACTGGGGCATCATGCCGCAGACATGTAGCATGATGTCACACCCAGTCACATTATCCTGACACCAGGCCAACCAGTCCTAACACTAACCTCTTAATGCTGAGTGCTAAGTGAGGCAGCTGTTCGTACCACTTTTGTAATTCTTTGGTATGACTCAACTGGGGATTGAACACATGACCTCCCGCATCCAAGGCGGAAGCTCTAACTACTAGTCCACCAGAGCGGTTTGGATTCATAAGACGTAATATGTAGAGTGTAGATCATAGAGCATAGAACTTCGAACTATCTCGGCCATTCCAAAATAACAAAAATAAACAACCAAACTCTTCTGTCACATTATACTGGGGGAATAGATTAATAACCAACCCCTTTTGTTAAGTCAGATAAATTCTATCCTAATATCAAACAGATTATATGGTTATCTAGTCTAACTGGCTTTGTCAGACCGTAAGCAACCTTGTTCCACAAAATTAATGGTCATCTAAAAGGCTATTCCAGCACCTCCACCGAGACATAGTTCCAAGCTAGTCTCAATTACAAAGAGGAATGAAATTCCTCTCAACTGTATTTATAACAACAATTAAGTGGTTATCATACGTGAATTCATATATAGGTCGGAGAATTCATATGGATTCTCAAAGAAAATAAGGCATACAATTCTAAATACATAATTTTTGCTAATAAACAAACCACAAGTTCAAGTCGTCAATGTTTATATAAAGAAAAATATTGTATGGTCTAAGATAAACGAAGTCAATACATTGAAATAAATTAAACAAAGCATCATAGTAGTATCAACAAATTACATAAGATTGTTGCAATCTTTTTTTTCCATGCTCTTGCTTCCAGAATGTGTCTGTCGATTTTTCCAGACAATTGTTTCCTCCTTAGATAAATTTTAATGAGAGATTTACTCATTAAATTCTCAGAGTTGCTCCAGGTCTTATGTGGTTTCTCTTGTAGAAAAGTGCAGACTGAAGTGAAAATTTCTATTTATACATTTAGGCAGAGAGTTTTTCATGTGGAACTATGCCCCATTCACAGAGTAACCAATCGGGATGACAAAAAAATCTCCTGCCTCACTAACACCAAACTCTGCCAATGCAGCTGACAAAAAATAGCTATCAACTGTTTTCTGTTTAATATCCCATCTGTCAGCTTCCATACAAACTATAACTTGAACTCCATTCCAGTAAGTTTAAACAAACTAAGCCCTTAATTATATATCAATAACTCCTGGCTTTGGCTGAACCAATCTGTACATTATGGCTTTTTAAATGCGGCCATTCCCCAGAAATCTGGTTAATAGTATGTGTCCAATTGTGTTTTACCAAAATTAACAAAAATAAGCTGAGATTGACCTAAAAATTTGGTCCTTTACAACAACTATGTAAATCGCTAGTTGAAAGAACCTCATGCTGGCAAACACCTTTGGCCAAAACAATGTATTCATAAGATGGACGTGGCACAGTCCAAGCGGAGACCATCACAGTTTGACTACATCATAGTGAAGAGGCATGTACAGACAGTGTAAACATCGCAAGACTCAAGAAACTGAAGGATCCCAAAGTAGTAGAAGCCTTCCGGGCAATGATTCAGTGGTAAATTTGCACTGCTCATCACGATACAGACATGGACACGTTTATCACCACCTTTTATACAATAGCAAGTGAAACAGCCATCGAGATCTTTGATAGACGACACCTAGTCAAGAAGCCCTGGGTGACAGCTGAGGTCCTGAACCTATGCAACAAGAGGAGGGAGCTGAATAAGAATATGAATAATACAGAAGGGGAAGAGCAGTACAAGGCAGTCAGCTGGGAAGTCGAGAAATCATGAAAAAAGTGAAAAAGAGAACTGGATAGAAAAACAGTCCAAAGACATTGAAGGGAACATGAAAAAGAACAACAGCAAAAAAGTGTACCTACTGATCCAAGATCTCACAAGCACAAAACAACAGCGAGTTACAGGACAAAGTCGGAAACTGCCTTACAGAAAAAAAAGACATTCTGGAAGGATGGACAGAGTACTGTGCAGAACTTTATAACCACCGAGCCACAATAGATGCAGAGGTACTGAATGTCCCTCAAGCAACAAATAATGACAACCACCCAATTCTGTGTGAACAAACATAAACTGCAGTGTTATGGAAATGTCTCATGACCATCAGGACTTGCCAAGACAATCCTGCAAGGTACTGTACAAGGAAGAAGAAGGAGAGAGGTGCAGGCAGAGAAAGAGGTGGGAAGATAACATTCAGGAGTGGACAGATTAGTGACTCACTGAGAAAGACAGAAAATCAAGAGGAATGGAGAAAGATCATTGTTCGGTCTCATGTGGTGCCCAAACGGTCTACCAGACTACAGACTGATGATAATGAAATAGCTATTGAAGAAGTCTTTTAGTTTACTGTGACATGTTCAAAGGTCAAGCTTAATGTCACTATATTTGATGTTATTGTACAAAAAATTGTATTCACATAATAACATCAAAGACATGGACTAACCTTTGTGAAAGAATTCCTTGCAATCCATTAATAAGGGGTTAAAAAGGTCAAAGGTCAGAGATCAGGTCACTGAGATTGATTTTATTTTTCCATAACAACTTTTGTTGTAGACCATATAACCTTAACCAATGTTTGTGGAGGGCTTGTGCCCAGCAACAACTATAATAATAAAAATAATGCTTTATTGATGGTGACTGGTTTATGCAAGGATTATTCTCCCTTGATACCCTCTTAGGGAGGAAGAATAACATTATGCATCATGCAAAAGATAATAGCAATTACGCTGTTTTTTAATGTCTGTAATATTGTAAATACTGAATTCTTGTACAATCTGTTATTAACACATGAACAAATATTGTTATCTCTTAAATAGCATAACATTTTCTGCACATTTTAAGTGCAGTGGAGGCATGTTCCATAGACCTGTATAGAAGTATTGGAAGCTTCTCTTATTTCATGATTTTGGCAGATGAGTGTTTCTATGTAATGTGGATTTCAACAGGTAAATTTAGGTGTAGAATGAAGCCTGCATTAATCTTGAAGTTATCTGGTGCCACTTACAAGAACTGCCTTGTGATAATCAATCTTTGCATGCATTGTAAACCATTTTAGTTCTGTAAACAACACTTTTGATAAATATAATCTAGATGCATCTAAAATGTGTGCTGCCCTTTTGCTGAAGTTTATTAAACCTGTCATGTTGAGATTAGGCACAATTTACTCCTACATTTTGAACAGTAAGCCATTGTTGGAAGAATAAGTGCATTGTATAATGTGGACTTGTTCATTGAAATATTTCTTGATATAATTATGGACAACTTGGATGACAAAGATATTTTCAGAGTTTGTCAATATGATCATTTCTTTGTAAATAATTATCTATTGTACTTCATGATTGCTGCTATAACCTTGGAGGAACTATGAATTTTAGGATCATGGATAAACTTTGCATTATAGCTTCGGTTTCCATCTTTTCATTTCCAGATATTTCCTAAACCCTTTGATTTATTTTTCCGTCATACTTGCTTGTCATGAGGTGACATTTTATAACAATACCTTGGGCTTAACATACCCTGGTTTTCTTATTACTATTACGGCTGGGACATTAGCTGTGTAAATTTTGAGTTGGTTTTTAATTCAATAATATCTCAGACTGAAACAAACTTTGGTAATCTTTGAACATTTTTGTTTTAAATGTATTTTATACTTAAAACTGCAAAATGTCCAACCATGACTTCTGAAGGTTAAAAAGTTCTAACTGTTCTGGTGTTATCATGTAACATATTCTCTCCATGTCTGAATAAAATTGGTCAGTAGTCCGTTAGAAAATTTTTACACAGTCATATGTAGAAATGTACATACAGTTGGTGATCAATTTTTGGATTAATATATTTGTTTCAGCTGACAGCTCTTTCAAGGTTGTCTACTTTAAAGGATTGTTAATTAGGACTATTCACATTTTATGTCCTTGTATCTGTCCATGCATCCATTCACACTTGTAACCAGCATAGCTGTACTACTCATGAAGATAATTGGATGCGATTTTGCAGATACATTTTTATGTCAGGTTCATGTGCATTTTAAAAGTGGAATTAAAACAGTTTTCAGATATATCTTAAGTTGTTGTTTTCTCTCACATTTGAAGACATCCACTATGAAAAGAAGCATTTCATGACAATTAAGATCATAGATGTGTACATTTTCAATCTCATCAGAGAATTAAAAAACAAAATCGTCTAATTATTGACATTGCAAAGCTGGTTCTGCTCTGATTATCTCCCTTTTGACTCACACCAAGTCATATTCACGTTACATGTACCTTATATACATTCTCCAACTGCAAACTGAACAGATCCAGATCTGCTGTAACATAATACACTGGCCGATCTGGGTCTATGCATTTTGTTAGAAGTAATCATTAGAATGATCAACATAGATCAACCCTAATCTGCAGGTGCTTAAATCATGGTAGATCAGGATCTTTGTTGTTTGCAGCTTTACTAGACCTATAAGTGAGTATATAATGTACATAAAAACCCCTTATATGTGTAATCTTCAATTCCATAAATAACCTGTACTGAATAATATTGGAAGTAATTACTTTAGAAGGTGGTGACAGTTGCATCCTAGATTTTAATTTGACTGTTTTGTCTGGGTCAGATTTTTTTTGGACAATTAGTTTGTGCCTGTCTAACCAATCTTGTTTGAGATGTTGAAATTTTTTTTTCGGGGGGGGGGGGACAATAAATGCAATAATATCATAATAAAATCTTGTTTTATTTTTATTTGTTCCAATGCTTCTTTCCTGAGACTTGCGCATAGCAAAGCATGAATAAAATCATTCTTTAACTACTTCAGATTCTCTCCTATTTTTCGAGTCGGTGTTTAGTAAGAAGAATCAACATTATTTAGAATTCTCCATATCTTTATTTCCACTGCAAACTTGAAACCAGGGAATTTACTGTAAGATGATTTTACAGTAAAGGTAGAAAATTTATTTATATCTTCATCTGTTTCCTATCAGAAAACTCGTTGAATTATTCTCAGAGAGAATGCATTAGTTTTGTAGCATCTAAAACTATTTACAGCTGTTGCCCAATTTACCAAAGTGCTTGTCTAAAACATTCTTTTCCTTGAAATACATGAGTCTGTTTTAAATTGAATGCATACATGTGGTGATTGAACGTCTAAAACTTTGAGTAGATGAATCTTTAAAAT